TTGATAGTTCTTAAGAGTTTTTTCTTTCCAGTTTCCTGGAAGATTTAAAACGAATGTAGTAATTGACTACGAAGTATCCAAAAAATATGTTTCTTATACTTCGGATTTTTGAATTGTCGATTGGCGAACCTCAATTTTACAGAAGTTACTTGAGGTTTTTACTCATTTGGGTTCGGAGAAAAACCTTTGACGTCGAATTGAATTCGCCAAATCAATCAATCAATCAATCAATCAATCTGTTTTTTTAATTCCATATACAGCTCGTCACGTAATTAAGAGTGAATTTTTGCAACGAGAACCGACTTAAGAACCAGGCATTGTATTTTTGAGTACTGTTAATTGCTACACAGTAGAAGTGAAAGAAGCGAGACATTTTTTGAATCAAAAGCAACCATTTTATATTGGCATTCGCGGACTAAACACTAGGAATTTGACTTGGCGTCTTAAACTTAAATTATTTAGAGTATTTGTAGATGTTGTTACGGACCAATTCACGAAACTTTGCATCCACTAAAAACAATTAAATCTGAACACAAAGGATTTTCCGCTTCTTTTCACTTGTAGCGTGAAGCTTTTTAGCTGCTTTGGAACAACATGGCGAGCTCTGCACAGTCGAAGATGAATACCAAATCAAAATTAAGTCTGTTTGGCGTTTTTGAATTTAAAAAAAGTACCGAATGTTATGTTAATTGGCGTAGCTTTAGATAATCTTGATTCTTTTTCGTTTAGGTTGTAGCTTGCCATGTTGTCTAAGAGTTAGTCCAGTTTGCGTAATTTTTTCTGACATTTTGAACAAGTCACAAACGTGGCACGAAATAGTTTGTGTGTGTGGAATCTGATGTCGAATAATTTCTGGAAAATTTAATTTTCGAAATATAGACAGTCTGTTTTCTAAAGATTACTGGCAAAAGATTTTACTCAAGTTTGAGGGCTGTAGATTTGTTGGAAAGTGTGCAGTAGTGTTTCAGTTGGAATTTGTCTGTTAAGTTTCTCGCGAGTTTTGATTTCGGTTTTTAAAGAAAAATGAATGAAAGACTGACAACACTGTACACTTTAAAGCAAAGCCACATCGTTCAAATTTGATCTGTGAAGTCTTATGTCAGTTTTCTTGAGTTTACAGGTTTTAGATATTTCAGAAATGAAATTTTACAGAAATTATTTGACATCTTATTCTCATACAAACTCTGTATTTTCTGCCATGTTTCTGCCTTGGAAAAAATGTTCAAGGAATTCGTGAACTGGTTTAACATAACCTCGTACAAGAAAGACAAAACCACTCGCAGAGATTGGCAAGATATTTTTTCTACAAAAAAATCTTTGAACTAGGACTTGCACTTAATTGTTTTTCTGACAAGTTTTGTACGAGGTTATGTTCAAAATCTTTTTGGCGGGAAATTTTTCAGGGAAGCCATTTTGAATTTTTCGCCAAAATTGTTGTCAGGGGAAACGCTGTGCAAATTTTTTCAAATTTTCCCGCCAAAAGTCTTAGTATATATAGGGAAGATTTTTTCTTGACATCTTTTTAATTTATTTAGTGGAATTTCAATTAACTAATTAAAGAATATTGGAGATGAATAAAGTTAATTGAAAGACAACAAGCACTTGTCTGTTTATTGTTGTTGAAATATACAATAAAAGATTATAATAAAGATGACAAGAAACTGTATTGGTAGTATCTTTTGACTTATGTTATTTACAATGTAAGTAAACTAGCAGACAACAAACGAATTCAGTTTTATTGAGGATATAATTAACCACAAAGTACACAAGACTTAGAACAATAACATTGATTTCTTTTTTAAAAAAGAAAAAAAATCGGCGCATGCGTATTTTAGACGCCTGTATTTTTCTAAGTTTTTTGGCGGGAAAATTAAAAAAAAATTAAACAAATGTTACTTACAGCGAAAGAAAATCTAAAAAAAAATGGCGCATGCGTATTTTAAGCGCCCGTATTTTTTCTAAGTTTTTTGGCGGGAAAACTGAAAAAAATTGAACAGCGTTCTAGAAGACAACAATTTGGACATAAAATTGTTTTCAAAACTTTACTTCTTAGAATTATTCTAAAAGAAATTAAAACTAATGCCTCGAGAAATTGGTAAAAGTGTTATAGCTAGCTTCCACTTTATACAGACCGACAATATCAGTCTTGGACGAAAAAATTAAAACAAGAAATTTGGCTGATGAGCTTTCTAAGTCAAGTTCAATTTTGTCATGAAACCCGTGAAAAAATCAAGACGATTAGAATTTATGGTCTCCTTTGAATAAACTTGGATAACTAAATATCGACTAGCATCATACTTGGCTTCACGAGGTTTGTTTTCTGTAGTTTCTACCCCTTAATGAAATCTTGGCAAGGCTAAAAATATCTCTTTCACTTCAAGAAAAACAAACTCTTTGCGCGAAGGTGCACTATAAACATTGACACTAAATCTTAACACAGAATATTGATCGTAATTTTTGTAATTTTAAAATTGTAAACACAAGCGAAGTCTAAGTTCTTACTTGATACGAAATCGTCAAAGTAGCGTGGATTTGTCGGAATATTCTATTGCAAAATCCCTGCTGCTTTCGCAGACTTAACTGACTTTATTTCCAGAAACGTAACACCAAAATCGAACATCATCTCAAACATTTACATGCAAAAAATATAATTTCGGACCCTAAACTCTCTCCTTAAACAATTCTATCGACAAAAAGAACACCATTTACGAATTTGCACTTGTTTCATAGCAAACAATATTTACATTTCCCTCAGGACAAATTCTTTAGTGATACATGGTTAACGCGCAAAACATTTCCTCAGAATATAAATACATATCGAATAATTAAAATGATTGTTTTGAACGTTATTTACAGAATTAAACCTTTCAAACTTGAAAAATTAATTCTAATTTCTGATTGCCATATATGAATTTTGTTCTTTGTTCCGAGAATTTAACGGTAGATGATGGTAGATTATTTTATGTATCTTGATTGGTAAGAAAAAAAATCAGATTTTGACTCTCGATAAGATCAGAAAACAGTCCAAATATAGCGCCAAAATACAATGATTAGATGAGAAGATGATGTCCAGTAAATTTCGTAAAACGCTATTTTTAAAATATTTACAGTCTAGTAAGATACACAACAAAATTATCTCCTGATAAATTTTGTTAGTTTTGATCGAAACTGAGCTGTCGCGTTTTAGTTTCTCATGATATTGTTTGTAATACTACGCGAGTCCAAATTTAACGGGAAAGTTTTTGAGGTAAAATGAGACTGTGCGTTTCCAGATTATCTACATCCCCGAAATAAGTATGCCTTATCGCATACCTTGTATTTTATACTACGAAAATGATTTGACATAAAACGGAACACTGTTATGATTTGTGCGTAGTAATTGCACCCCACACACGGAATTTTGGAAATATTACTATTTTTCTCAAAAGTTAAATGGCCGTGTCGGAATAAGAATTATCCAAAGAAATTGATCGTGTATGATTTCAAAGCTGGAAACAAATGAAAACTGATCATGAAATGAAAGTGGTCTAAATAATAGCAGTAATAATACAAATTTAGAGAAAAAACACGAATGAATGGAATGAATGAAATGAAAGTACAGACTTGTAGAGGTTGAAACTTCCAATCATTTTCTAACCATTTTCCAATCATTAAAGGGAAAAAATTCAAGAAAAATGTTTTTGCTGGCTCGCACGCCCTGTCCGCTCAACCAGTTTAACTTGACAATGTAGAAATAAAATTGAAGCTAATCTTTGCTTCCTCTCCTTTTATTGAAGATAACTATTCTGCGACCTACCATTGTCAAAACTGAATGTTTTCCTCGAGCGTAATTCCTATGTTTATAGTGCACCTTCGAAAATTCCAAATTCGTCTTTAAAAGCTATTTATTCTACCTTTACAACGAATAAGTTTGATTTCGATCCTTTTGCTTGTCCTCTTGGCTTGCCAGATGGATGATGAGTTGACTGTTGACCAAGGCATCAGTGAGTCCTGAGAAAGAAAAAACATTAACTGATTAGATAACGGCATCGGACAGTGTGCGAATAAACAGAACGTAAATGCTCTCCTTTGAGCCTGAGCTGACACTGGTGATTGTTGTTTTGCGTCAATTTGAGTAGAAATTCAGACAGCATCTCAAATAATCGCAGTCATTCCATTCTGAAAAAGCTTGAGTTGTAGCTATTCTGCAAAAAAAAGTAGGTTCTTTTTTATTGGAATCTGTAGATTACTCCCTTTGAAAAAGGAGGTGTGGGTGGATTGAATATTCCTACAGCGACTAATTCAATAAAGGCAGTTTTTGATTTATTTTTTCGATCAGAAATAGCGGATAGAGAACGTTGAACAATACTGCCGTAAAGACTGAGACTTTCTAAAGTTCCAAAGGAATTTTCCAGGCTCAGTTGAGGAGAGGAAATATTTCATAACCGGAACATGAAATAGAAAACACATCATTATGGAGTTCTTTTAAACCCTTGTCTCAAATTAAGGCTACCTTTAATGGATTAAAATGACCTGTTCAAGGCAAAAAGAAACATTCACCTATTTTTTTGTCCTAACAAAGCTCCATCTGTATTCAAAACTCTATTAGCGTGCCTTCAATTTAATTTAACTAATAGTTTCTTTCGTTTCAATTCCACAATAGCAAGTTAAGGCAATTTGTGCACGGTTTTGTTAAATAGAACTATAAACGAAAGTTGCTTTTCGATAAACGCAGGAATAAATATTGAACTGAGAACTAATTCTCACTCACCTTTTACTGAAGCCTTCCTAAGCTTTTATGCCCCTTGTTTCTCCTCAGCAATAATTCTTATGAAGAAATCAATTAAAACACGACCGGATTAGTTCGCTTTTTACCCAATAAGGATGATAACATTTAAAACATCAATGACAAACATTTAAGTTCACAGGACGTTAATATAACCACCAAATCTGCTTATGTGTGTGAATAGTGCTAGAGTCGAAGGCTTTATTATGCAATTTCAAGAACTTAATCCACAGTCCCTTCCCCCGTGCCAGTGATTCCAAACACGCACAGATATTTTGGCGGCACCGTTTGAAATTTTGCAATGAACACCTTTTACCTTGACCTGCATTAGGATGAAGCTCAACATGCTTATACAAAAGGATAAAGCCCGAGAAAACTATTATACAGTGAAAAATGTGCACAACATAACAACATCCTCGAGCTTAATTCAAAATGCTGGTTTCGTTAACCGTGCGCTACTCGAGTTTCTGCTCGATACTGTCTTGAAATTTAGCGTAAAGTATCAGAAGATCTATAGACACATTAGATAATTTTTTTAAGGACAGACTACCTTTCATAATAATAATACTTTTGATAATTACCGTTGTGAGCACAAGAGAATTCACACATCCGACATCATGGTTTTGGACCGAGTCAACACGTGTTGCAAACTCCGCTTCAGAGCAAAGCTTTTGGACGAGTTTCCAGGCTGCCGACGGAAATGATGTTGTTTTTGGCAAACTAATTTTGTTCCTCGAACTTGGAAGGGAAGAAGAAACAAGGATGCAGATAGAAAATACGTTGAACTCGCTTGCACAATCGTCTTTCAGCACGTGCAGGTGATGGGAAAACATGAATAATGAGGTAACAAATTTGCATTTCAGACCGAAAAA